TTCCCCTTAGGAGCGAGGATAGCGAGACTTTGTCTCATATACTTAGGACTTGTTATCAGGAGGGACCAGTCCCTGCAGAAGGACATCATGCTCGGTACAGTAGAGGGTCATTGAAAAAGAGGAAGACCCTTGACGAGATGGATTGACACAGTACCTGCAACAATGGGCTGAAACATTGCAACGATTGTGGGGATGGCACAGGGCTAGGCAGTGTTTCGTTGTTACTGTAAGTCAGAAGAAAGGCCTGGCAGTCTGCTTTCAAAAGGTCACAGCCTTGAAAACGCTATGGAGCAATTCTACTCTGCACATGTGCGGTCGCCAGGCTCGTGTACCAAGGTGCCTTGGGGTGGGTTTGAACTGCCAACCTTCTGGCTAGCAGCTGAGCACTTAACATTTTGCGCCACCCAGGGACTCCTTACAAAAGTGTGGTGCCTCCCATTCCAGCACATGAACTCCAGAACTGCAGACTCATTAGATTTCTTAATAGACCCCCATTTTATTCCTTTAGCAGTGTTTCCCGTCACTCCCCGCTTGCGCCCTGAGCTGTAGGCTGTCTGGTAAAACCCCTCCTGCCTCTGTGCATTCTTATATTGTCCTAGGCTCCTGTCTGCATCCTGCTTCTCTGTTGAGGCCCACCTCAGGTGCCGCTTTCTCTATTGACACTTCCTAGTTCCTCTAGACAGAATTAGCTACTGCCACCTCACTCCCTCTGTCACACTTCTAATTCAAGGACAACACCACATTATTTACCAGGCTGATTCCTGCCTCTGTTGCTTTGTGGGTGCTTGTGGACAGAGGCTGGTGTCGGCTGTGGTTTGGCATCCTTGGGGCCATGCACAGAGTGCTTGGGAGTCCCCCTGCCCACGTTTGTTGAATTAAATAGATCTCTCACGGTAGGGTTGGAGTTTGCTTCATATGCTTATTGTGTGTCTGAGGCAGAGATTTGCTTTCTGTTTTTCTAGGTCATCAGTGGGCATAAGAAAAGTAAAGCAGTGCCGAGTTTAAACAGTGCTTTAACGTAAATAGGATGCCAGATGAGGGTAGACACTCTTATTACTGCAGCAGTAAAACTCATTATATAGTGAGTCTGTATTGTAGTAGCCGATCACCAAAAAATACTGATGCTTTTTGTCTACTTACTTGTTTTCAGTTTGTTCATGAGAAGTACTTTTTCAGTTTATAATGAAGGAATAAAGAGGGGAAGAGATTACAAAACTTGCCTGAAGTTACAGATGAAAGTAAACCTAAGACAGGACCTAATAAGTTGGGGTCATGACTCATAAATGCAGTTTCTATAGGAAGAAAAGTGTTCTAGCAGCTCTCCAGGATGTGATTTTTGCCACACCCTTTCACACCTGCCACATGTGCCTGTGTTTTGTTTTTTTCCTATTGATTTTTATTGAGGTGTAATTTATATACAATGAAATGCACACATAAGTGTATAGTTCATTGTTTAACGTCTCATTGAGTTCTGTTTTGACAAATGTGTATGCCTGTGTAACTCACTTCCCTATCAAGGTAGAGAACATTGCCATCACCTCAGAAAGTTACCTGGGACCTCTTCTCAGTCATTCTGTGCTCAAACCCTTATTCTCATTTCTTCTGACAGACATTTGTTTTTCCTGTTTTACTGTCATATAAATGGAATCATACCATACATACTCTTATGTCTGACTTCTTTCGCTTAGCATAATGTGTATGAGATTTATCCATGTTGTTGCCTGGGTAATGACCTCCCCCCCCCCTTTTTTTTTGGCTGAGAAGTATGCCACTGTATGAATATACCACAGTTTGTTTGTTCATCTTCTGTTGATGGATATTTGGGTTGTTTCCAGGTGGGGGCTATTATGAATAAAACTGCTGTGAACATTCCCATACATGTTTTCATGTTCATATTCATGCTCATTTTTCTTAGATAAATACCTAGAAGTAGAATTGTTGAGTCACAAGATGGGTATTTGTTTAACTTTGAGAAAGTACCAGATCACTTGCCAAAATGGTTGTTGTACTGGTTATTTTTTAAAATTTATAAAAATAATTGGGGATTTGGACTCACTGTAGAAATTCTGCTGTAGACCCAATGCCTACAATGGGCACAGACCTAAGAGCTGCCCTCTTGTACACATCTGCACCTGTTCTTCCTTCTTACAGGGAGCCTTGGTGGCGCAGTGGTTAACCGAAAGGTCGACAGTTTGAACCCCCCAACGCCTCCATGGGAGAAAGACCTAGTGATCTGCTTCGATAAAGATTACAGTCTTAGAAACCCTATGGGGTAGTTCTATTCTGTCCTACGGGGTTGCTATGCATTGGAATTGACTCGACAGCACTTTTTTTCTTGTTTACTTCTTCCTCCATTGTCACCCCCATCTGCTTGGAAAAGCTCAGTCACTCATCAAGTCCCTTCTCAGGCATCACTTTCTCTGTGAAAATCATCCTTAATCTCCTGGCTGGAAGTTTGCTGAGTGTGAACCTGAACGTTGCCCTGGTGCTGCCATCAAAGGAATGTCTGGAGAGAGTGAGGTGGTGTCCCCAGAAGTCTGGGAAGTACCTCCAGAGGCTGGTATCTGCGTCTTACCTGGAGGCTGTCGAGTTTTCAGGCTGGCTGGCACACGCTTCCAGCAAGAGAACAAACCATGTAAGGCTGGGAGGAAGAGGGCGGTGGGAACACACCCTGTCTCGGAGGGAAGAGGGGATTGTGGCAGTTCTCGGGGCTCCAGTACGGAACGTAGATATGTTCTAGGCAGAGTGGGGTATACCCACCCTGAAAGAGGCCGGGTGTGTTTTGGTAGTGCTAAAGGGGAGTTGCCTCTAACCAAGGGAGTTTTTAGTGATGGGGAGGGCCAAAATGCAGTGGAGTAGCATCCTAAGAAAGTATGTGCACTGTGTACACAGATACCATCCTACAGAAAAGGCCGCCATCACTGAGGAAACCACAGTCGGAGCCAGGCTGAGGTGACTGGTTGCATAGGTGGTTCCTTTCTATGCTATTTCCTTTCCCAGCCCCCACTTAATAATTATCCCCTTACCTCACATACGCATACACGCCTGCACATTTCAGAGTGGAAGGAATAATGTTAAGACCAGACCACCTTCTCTGCCCTCAGATGTTTGAGCCACAAGCCTGAGCAGGGGAAAGAAATGGAGTTTCATTTTGATATAAGATCATTGGAGGAACTGGAATCCTCCCTCATTGCTGATGGGAATGTAAAATGATACATCCACTTTGGAAAGCAGTCTGGCAATTTCATAAAAAGTTACACATATACCTATCATGGGATCCGGCCCTTCCTTTCCTATGTATTTACCCAAGAGAAATGAAAGCACATGTCCATACAAAGACTTGTACCTGAATGTTCCTAACATCTTTCCTTGTTAATCACCCAGAACTGGAAACAACCTAGCTGTCCATCAGCAGGTGTATTGGTAAACAAATTATGGTATATACACACCATATTCAGAAGTAAAAAGGTACAGACTGTTGAACCACACAACAGTGTAGATGAACTGCAGAATGATCATGCTGAGTGAAAGAAGTCAGACAGAATAGTACATACTGGATGAGTCCTAGAGAATAGGGACTCATCTGTAGTGGCTGCAAGCCTGAGGCCACGAGACTGGGGCGGGGATCGGGGGGCTCGGACACTTTAGGGGTGCTAACCATCTTGATTATAGTGACCGCTTCACAAGTAGGTGTCAAAACTTATCAAACAGGGTACTTTACGTAGGTGCAGTTTAATTATGTGCCATTTATACCTAAATAAAACTTTTTAAAATAAGTATAACCAGTTGTCATCAAGTCATTTCTGACTCGTGGTGACCCTGTGTATGTCAAAGTAGAACTGTACCCTACATGGTTTTCAATGGCTGATCCTCCTACCAGGGGCCTCTGGATGGGCTCAAACCTCTACCTTTTGGTTAGCAGCCTAACCGTTTGCACCAGCCAGGGACACCTTAAAAAAGGAGTAGATCCAGTGTATAGAGCAGGCCACACCGTTATGTGAACTCTTGCAGCATGGGCTAGGCAACTTTGGTCTGGATTCTCCTGGGGGATCTTTCTTCAGAAGGATTAACACCTTGTAACCAAAAACCAAACCCGTTGCTGTCAAGTTGATTCCGACTTACAGCAGCCCTATAGGACAGAGTAGAACTTTCCCACAGGGTTTCCAAGGAGCGGCTGGTGGATTCAAACTGCCGACCTTTTGGTTAGCAGCTGAGCTCTTAACCACTGTGCGCCACCAGGGCTCCAACGCCCTGTGGGGGTGTTGATTTGAAACAGTCATCTCATTCCATCTCTACTTTCAAATGTGCCCTATTGAGTTTCTTAAAGCGATCACAAGCAGAAGCTGGGCCAGGCTGGGCAGTTTTCAAAGTTAGGCCTGGTGCAGACTTGAAGAAGTTTGGTGGAAGAAATGAGAAGAGGCCGGTAACCTGAGGAGAGAGTCTGGGAAGAACTTTCAACATTGTAAATACAGAGACTATATTCATATTGACATGAAGGAAAATTTAAGATTTTCCATTAAAATCATCTCATCAGGAGCAGGAGAATGGTGGGGTGCAGAACTCAAATTCTAGTAAGAAGACCATACTTAATGGTCTGTCTGAGACTGGAGGAACCCTGGAAAGCATGGCCCCTGGATTCTCTATCAGCCCAGAACTAAATTTCTGAGGCCAACTCTTCAGATAGGGATTGGACTGGACTGGGACATGAAGTGATACTCGTGAGGAGTGTGCCTCCTAGCTCAGGTAGATGCAAGAGACTGAACGGGCAGCTTCTGTCCAGAGGTGAGATGGGAAGGCAGAGAGGGTTAAGAGCTGGCTGAATGGACATGGGGAGTCGGGTGGAAAGGAGGAGTGTGCTGTCACAGTATGGGGAGAGGAATTAGAGTCACATAACTATGTATAAATTTTTGTATGGGAAAAAAATTTCTAAAAACTAAGGAAAAAATCATCCCACAGATGTTTTTGAAAAGTTTTAATTGGGAAAAAAAAAGGAAAAGCAGAAATAATTTTTTTTACTTGGAATTCTGGTGGTTAGAAATAGCCTAAGCAAATATTATTTTTATCAGAATAGTGAACAAAGTAGTTTTTATCACGATAGTGAATAAAATGAATATAAACAATGAATGATGAGTAAAAGAGTATGTTGTATATCTTGGTAAATGTCATCTTTAAAGTCTCAGAGTCTTGTAACATTGCTAAGGAGGTATACCTACCTTGGGCTTCTGAAATTTTAGTCCAGAATTCTTCACATGCTTGTGGATCATCTGTGGGAGAACGCTGGGCAGGTTTTTTCCAGAAAATGTGCATACTTTTATCAGGCGTGGCCTGTGCTAGGCCTCCTGTTGTTTGGAGGATGGGCCTCCTAGATTGATTTTTTTTTTTTTTTTTAACTCCTAAGGTCTTTCTCTTTGTTGATTATGTAGTTCTCCTTTCTAGGAGATTTCCTCATTGCTGTCGTCTACTATTATTTGTAAACTTTTAAATCCTGCCGTTGTATTTTTGTTTTTCAGTAACTAGGAGGTTCTCAGAATGTTCCTGTTCTTGTTTCACAGAAACAGTCTGGTCTCTGATTTCTGAGAATACTCACCGTAGCCATGTGCTGCACACGTTTTCTTCTCCGTGCATTGTGCCTATTCTGAATTCCTTTCCCGTTTCTTTTTTTTTGGCTCTTTCATGAGACATGTTTTGGGCTTTCTTCAAAACATCTGCTCATGCTGTTCGTTCATATCTAAGAGTGAGACAAGCTGCAGCTGGGCCCACAGGTCTGCGTACAGGGTGTCATCTGCCTGCATCTCAGAGAAGTCTGGCAGTGACCCTGACCTTTCTCTTGGGGTTCCTTTGCATCTTGGTGTCTTTAGACCTTTTCTCCTGGGCCAGGTTAGTGTTTCCAGAGAGGATACCTCTAACTCTCCCCCAACAAATGAGAAGGGGGTGTCTCACCCTTCAGCAGGGTCTCTGCTCAGTCCCGAGTGTTCTGCCCATGGTTTGTCCCCTCCCTCGATGGGACCTGATGTCCCTGTGCATCGCCTCCCCGGCTCATCCCCTGTCGTCTCAGTGACTCCTTTTGCATGGCAAGACCTTGTGGACCATTGCAGTGTGGGCTAGCCAGCTTTGGTCTGGATTCTCCGGGGGGATCTTTCCTTGAGAGGGATTTTGGCTTGCAGATTTGTATTTAACACTGGGACTAAAATAGCAGTAGGGTAAAACAAACATTTAAAATACACCTCTTAATTTTCAGGATTGTGATCACTGTATTAGTAATGAAAACAGGAGCAATGATATCACAGTTAAGGGTAGTACCTTTATTCTGAAGGACCACATAAAATGTTATATTGCTGTATAAGCTCTGAAAATTAATCATACCTTAAGAAATATCGCACACTTTCCTGTCACAAAATAACTAACTTTTCTAATCAGATTGCATTATCTTTCAGATCCTATCACATAGGACACTATGCACCTTAAGATCCTGAAGAAAAGGCGCAAAATGTTCCAGTAATGTTTAGAAATAATTTTTGAGGTAAGAGTATGATTCTTTATTTAGGTATTTAGTCACTATTTTCTTTTTAACAGCTGACATCAACTTGTGTGTATTATTGAAAAAGCATTATTTGCATGTGGTAAAACGTAGACATAGTACAAAAGTTTCACAGCAACAAGTAAATCCTTCTTTTTATCTGTTGTCTTTGGTTTGCAAACCACGTCTCCTAAAAGGGGAGGATGTCTTTGGAAGAACATTTCATGATAAGTTATTAGCAAGTATTCCAAGGTGAGAGAGCATTTGAATGGAAAATACGTGTACATGTTGTGGAAAGTTTTTGTGTGGTTGACCCTTAAATAACGGATATTTGTTGTGCTGCTTTTAGTGTTCTGGGAAACCCGGCTTTCTTAAATGTTTGATAAAGAGCTTAAATTCCCCTTAAATTAGCATCAAAGTAGAAAGATGATTTTGCAACATGGGTTTGATGATTGGTGAAAGCAGAGTGCTTTCCACTTTCTCCCAGAAATGATCTAAGAGCATTAAATCGATAGTAATTTCAGTTATTTAGCCTAGTCTAAGACTGCATCCTCCCTTGTAACGCATGTGTCCATTTTAGTTTGCATCTCAAATTGCTGTGCCATTTGCTCTGCTGTCCCCAGTATTTTTAGATTAGGTCCAATATAAAGGAATTGTTTCTTCATTTCCTCTCCTCCCTTCCTGTTACATTAGTGAAGTGTAAATACAGTGAGTCAGCGGAATACCAGTGCAGCTGATTACAGACAACTGAATTCCTCCAGCCTAACATTGCCTTGCTCATTGATTGCTTTCTTGAAAATAAAGTGACTTTTGGATATCAGATTATTTTCCTGTTGATTTCTTTTACACATTTGGCTCTCAAGCACATAACATTAGGTATCAGCATCCTAATGCCCATCTAGGAATGTCCTACCATCCTCAGCATGTTGTCTTTGTGGTTACTCTTCCCACCAGCTGCACCTGATCTCTGACCCCCAGGTAAAAGCACACCACCACAGGGCTGTAGCCTGGTCTCTTTGGCAGTTCTCACCAGTACCTGAACCAAGAAGATTGAGTTGAAGTGGCCCTGGCGTTTGCCACGCGCACCTTTAGAAGACTTACGCGGTCTGCTTTCTGGGTAGAACTTGCACTGCCCAGACCTTGTGCTCTGAAAAGGACTAGTCTGTCCCTGGACCTGTGTTTATGTACCCCTGTTGTCTTCCTGCCTAGTAAGCCAGCACCGATTTCTTATAGAACATGTCCTCTGTGAGGAGTGGCCGTAAAGCAAGGTGATTCTGGCCAGAGGGAGTTTTCAGCTTACCACCTTGTCAATACACAGGTGTAAATGTAATAGAAAACTTTTGCTTGTGTGGTTGACCCTTACTAATGGAGATCTGTGGCAGTGCAGTTCGTGTTCTGGGAAACCGCGCTTTTTTCACTGTGACAGTAAACAGCTTAGGACTCTTTATCTGCAAAATGGACACAGAAATTCATGCATTCCTTGTTCTTTCATCATGCAGATTGTTAATGTCTGCTGAGCATTCTACTCTAGTAGAAGTACCAGTAAGTGGAACTGCTGACTGGTACTCGGACAGAGATCAGCCCGCGGGGGTCTTGGTGGAGTGGGTAGGAGCAGGGGTACCATGAGGCCCACCTCTACCATTGCTAGGGAACTAGGTGCTGTGATTTTGCATATAGCATATTCTTTTCATTATCTTTGTTAGGTGGCTGTGGCTAGCCTTAGGTGACGGTTTTGCTGATATAGGCCTAACCTACACTCTGGGATTTATTGTGTTGTAACACAATCAGTAAAGTAAAGATTTAAAAACTCAGATCTTAACTAGTTAAAATTTTATATTCTTTTCTGATAGGTGTTTAGACTATCAAGTGACCAAGGGCAGGTAGTGACCCGTCACATTTAAGGTGGTGTGTGAGAGGGCATATATGTTTGCATGCATGTGCGTGACTGCATGCACGTGTGTGAGTGTCCATCTGTGTGTGTGAGTATGTGCGCGTGTGATAACATGAGTGTGTATGTGCATGTGTGTGAGTGTGTGTGCATGTGTGTTTTTCCCATAAGCCTTGACCACCCTGTGTGGTCCCTCTACAGGGAAATCATGCAGTCATCAGGACACAGGCTTCGAGATGTTGAACATCATCCTCTCCTGACTGAAAATGAGAATTATGACTCCTCGTCCTCCTCCTCCTCTGAGGCCGACACGGCGGATAGGGTGTGGTTCATTCGGGACGGCTGTGGCATGGTGTGCGCTGTCATGACCTGGCTTCTGGTCGTCTATGCCGACTTTGTGGTGACGTTTGTCATGTTGCTGCCTTCCAAAGACTTCTGGTACTCTGTAATCAACGGGGTCGTTTTTAACTGCTTAGCCGTCCTCGCCCTTTCATCTCATCTGAGAACTATGCTCACCGACCCTGTGAGTACACGCCCTGTCTCTGGATTGTTCTGTCTTGTCTGGTCTCATGTTGCCACCATAGACTGCTATGGTGAAGGAGCTGTTGCTCGCACAGCCCCAGGTTTTTCTCAGCTCCTGGGCACAGGCTTGTAGCATTTTCCATGTCTTAACTGAAGAGTGAACATTGGTTAAATAGAAGTAATGCCATGGCATATTCATGGAAAATACCATCCTTCATTGGGCTGTTGTCTGTTCCAATGAAGAAATTGTACTAGATAACCTCTAAAATTCCTTTTAGTTTAAATATTTTGTTTTTCTGAAGCCTGGACTAAAAGCTGGGAGGCCTGGGTTTTAGATTTCGCCACTTCACTGATCTTTGAGTTGTGTTTTGACTGTAAGCAACCAATTTAACCTCTTTGGGCCAAAGGTTAGCTATTGTCTCTAAGTTCTTTCTGGCTCTGTAATTCTCTTATTTTTATGTATTTATTTTTTTAATTTTGTGTTTTAGGTGAAAGTTTACACAGCAAATTAGATTTCCATTCAACAATTCACATACACATTGTTCTGTGACATTGGTTATAGTCCCCACAATGTGTCAGCACTCTCACCGTTTCCACCCTGCCTGCCCCATTTCCATCCATCTAGCTTCCCTGCCACTCCTTGCCTCCTCATCTTTGTTTTTGGGTAAATGTTGACTGTTTGGTCAAGTATAGTTGATTGTTTAAAGGAGTACATTCCTCATGGGTGTTGTTTATTTTATAGGCCAATCTATTATTTGGCTGAAAGGTGACCTCCAGGTAATCCTCTGATTTTAATGTCTCAGCTAGAGTCTGCAGCAAATGTCCCTCTCAGCCAGCTGGTAAAAGGTAAGAGCTCAGCCCGTCTGAAAAGCAGAAAGGAAGAACAAGTTAAAGAATTCTAATTACTGCCATCAGGTGTGGGCTGTTACTTTGGAGCTTGCAAAATAGAGCCCACTCACGGTGCTCAGTGAGAGAACTGCAACAGGTGCACGGACACAGGAGTGAGAGAAGTGCCACGGGTGCACGGACACAGGAGTGAGAGCTAAGTGCCACGGGTGCAGGGACGCAGGGGTGAGAGAAGTGCCACGGGTGCGCGGACGCAGGAGTGAGAAGTGCCACGGGTGCGCGGACGCAGGGGTGAGAGAAGTGCCACGGGTGCACGGACGCAGGAGTGAGAGAACTGCCACGGGTGCGCGGACGCAGGAGTGAGAAGTGCCACGGGTGCGCGGACGCAGGGGTGAGAGAAGTGCCACGGGTGCGTGGACGCAGGAATGAGAGAACTGCCACGGGTGCACGGACGCAGGGGTGAGAGGAGTGCCACGGGTGCACAGACGCAGGGGTGAGAACTGCCACAGGTGCACGGACAGGGGTGAGAGAAGTGCCACGGGTGCACGGACAGG